CCGATAATGATGTCTCCGTCTTGAAAATATTTACAATCTTGTCTATATTCATTTCTTAGTTGAAGATCGCATAATGATGCTGAGATTCTGCTCAAAGGTGTAACATAAATGACTATGAGACACCTCAGAACTTTACATGAATTGGACAAAGCTGTTGATTTCAGGGTTGTTCTTTTGTACAACAAAAGGTAACCTAATGCAATGCATACTATCAGATGAGCCATAACACAACGCAGTGAATATGTAGCATGCATGTGAGACTAAAGTGAAACCACACCATCTCCCCTCATTTTATAGAGTTACCGGTGAATACGCCTGAAGGTATGGAGGAATGATTGACATGCTTTTGCTCCGGGGAATGCGGCTTCATTTTTACACTCTATTACAGACTGATACAAGTTAGTAAAATGTAAAGATAAATACAGTAATCAGGATGTTTTTCACAGCTGTACACAGGCCCCAATGGAGCCTATAAACATGATCATAGCTTGCATTTAAACTTGTCAAGTTTTATTTAGTTGTTTTTTAAATGCAGTAACATTTACATGGGATAATAAATATATGTAATATACGTATAGAAAGCATTTACAGACCTTTATTTCAAAAATGGGAAAACAAGTTACAGGTATGGTTACATAATTAATTGCACAACCTTAGTAAAGATCCATGTTATAACTGAAACATTGCTACACCATGTAAATAAATGTATGCGGCCAAACATCGCACCATCACACAGATATGAGTTTGTTGGACATCTCATTTCAAAATCAAGTTGGTCTGAAGTAGAATGAGTCCTCATTTTTCAAAATTATCAATAAAGGGTGCAACTACAGACTGAGGCTAGCAAACCCCATAAATACTTAGAACAGCAGAGATCAATGGTAGCTTTCATGGATTTCAATGCATTTTAAAAGCTGCAGCAATGTTTCAACCTCCAAATGGGGTCTTTACCAAACGTGCTACCCAATTGTAATATGTAGTTTCCATCATTAAAACTGCTAATTAGTCATCCTTGAGTGCCTGGACCAATTCTGCTATTCCTAAATTAAGGGCATTAATATAGAGTTGGCCCTCCCATGATGGAATGACAGGCTGCATTCTTCTTGGAAGGCTATTTTAGATTGTGTATGTGGAAATTTGCGCACATTAAAACAAAAGGGCATTTGTGAGGACAGGTACTGGTGTTGGACAAAACAATTGTTCTAGCTTGCAATAAGCATAAGGCTGAGTACAGGTGTCTGTGTGCATTCCTGATTGGGGGATAGGAAGAGGCTTGGCACATTGTTCCGCAGTGTCCAATTACAGAAACTGTCATTCCTTCTCCAGGTTTGATAGAATATCTTAGTAGGAAAACAATTAACAGCCTATCAAGCACCTTTGCATTACAATAATTTAACATAATCTTTAACCATTTTTTCCCACTTAACCAATTTTTTTTTAATGATTTTTTTATTTTTTATTTTCAAAAGCGAAAGTAAAACCTCTATACTTAACCCCTTAAGGACAGAGGCAATTGTACAAGTTCTGATCAAAATAAAACCTTGAATTTGAGCTATATGTTTGTTCAACCATAGTTTACCTTTTTTGTATTACGTATACCCCTACTTATTATAAATAATTTTGTTCAGGAGAAACAGGGCTTTTCTTTCACATCAAATTCATATTTGTGGTTGGAAACATAAAGCTGTAATATAGATTAAATTTAAGTAAAATAAATAAGGGAAGAGGTGGGTGGAATGACCTGAACAGAATGGTCCAGCTAAGAGGTGGAATTGGGTTTTTATAATGAAACCTCCTCCCACAAATACAGGCTTATGGCCTTAAAACTTGTGGTCGGAAACATGAGGCCATAATGTAGACTAATAGTTGTGTAAGTCAGTTGTCGTGTGCTGAAACCAACATTCGGTTAGACCTGTAAATAAAAGCAAAAAAGGTTGCAAAGAAAACACAATTTATTATATGACATATGACATATTATAATGCTAATTATTTTAAAGCTCTTCTGAACTCTGTGATGGTTATATACTAAGAATTTCCATCTTCCTAGCCTTGTAATGATATAAGCCAGGGTATCAACACTAGAAGCTGCTGATACTGCCCCAATTCTGAAGGAATGCCCAAAGAAAGAAGCGGGGTTCAGATCAAGTCATAGGAACAGAGTCCTAACATAAAATATGAATTTAGATGTGGAGAGTGGATAACCTTGAAGTGTAAGAAAGGGTGTATTAGGTGGGTTATGCAAAATGGTTTGTCGGTAGAGGTCTAGGACTTTACT